GAGGGGGGGAGGGGAGAGGGAAACTGAGGAGAGGGGTGGGAAGGGGGGGGGGGCGGAGAGACCATTCCTTAGTCCTTTTGTTCTCAGCCACTTTGCAATTAAATGCCGTGGAAGAAGTCCCCTACGAGTTCCAGGACTGTAGTAATCAGCCGGGGTCTCCTCCGCCCTTAGGGCTGTGCAGATCTCCCTAGAGCCTCAGCCTAGAGTAGGTGGGTCCCTAGGCCCCCCAGCTCACCCTATTGCTTGGCTGCCTTTCCTTCCTGGTGAGGGCCTATACCCTCCCCACAAGGGGGCTGCGCATGGACCGAAAGTCGGTTCCGGAAACTGAAACCGTCCCCGCGCGCTGCACTAAAGTCACTCCAAGTTGCTTTCCGCCCCATCTTCAAAGGGGACTGTGTGGTACCTGTGCTGTGGGCGGAGAGCCGCTGCTGGGCGCCAGGATTCCAGGAACTAACTGTACTGGGAAGGTGAGCCTGCCCAGAGTCAGCTGCTTTGTCCCCAAGGGCCAGGGACCTTGTAGGACTCAGACGGTATCGAGGCTTGTGCCGAGGGGCCAAAGGCTTGTGGATTGTTTTGGTTCTGCGGATTGAAGATGAGAGCTGGAACTTCTGGGCTATGTCCAAGACACGTGGGGAAGAGGTGGCCTGGAGAGGGAGGATGTAGCTCAGGTTAGTCTACAGGCAGGCAGGCGTTTTCAACAAGGGACAGTTATCCCTTCCATTCTGTATCTTGCCCTCGTGTGTCTCCTGTCTCTTTTTTGATTTCTGATTTAGGATGCTCTTTAGGTTGTAAACTGAATTTCCTCTTTAATTAAGGAAGGGTCTTATCTCAATAGAGGTCCACACTCCTGTCCTCGCTTGGGAGGCACATACCGTCTACATTTGTAGAGTACTAATAGAGACCAAAAGGTCAAAAACAAGTATAAGAATCCCCACACAGGAACCATCAGACCCTGACTGGAGCTAGGCACAGTGCTCTTGAGAAATAGAATCTAATGCCTAAGGGTCCGTGGCTCCTTACCGAAAAGGGACCACTCTCAAGAAAGGCAACTGGTGATATAAAACTTACTAAACCCGACAATGAGGTGCCCACTTATCAGTCTCCAGAAACGGCCCCCACACATAGCTCAAGGCCAAGAGATTTCCCTCAGTTATGATGAGGAAACTAGGCGCCACAAGCCCATTGTCAGCCAGAAGCCAGAACCAGCACCAAGAGATTTCCCTCAGTTATGAAAGAGCACACATTCCCTCTCAGCAGAGCCGTTCTCCCCGAGAATCTTACCTGCTTATCTCTCTGCATATTTTATTAAAACTTTTCTTATATCAATTCTGGTCTCCTTACTACTTTTACCTCATGCCTCTGCTTGTGGTGCCCTGACTGGCTACTATACCGTTTGAACAGGGTGTTGTCAGCCATTAGCTGGGCGATTTATACCAAAGGATGCCAACATACTGATGTTCATAGATCATAAGTAATGCCTGGGCAGCAGGTGGCTGCAGATGGCTCTTAATTTTTCTCCTGCCTCACATCACATATCATGTCCAGACCCCACAAGGCTCAGCTTCGGCTTAGCAACAGTTTCATGGCAGGGAGCATCCCCGAGTCTAAGGCCAGACGCTGGACTCTCAAGTGTCTGCCAGCATAGGGGGCTGTTGGAGAAACAGTTTAGGAAGCCTGCTAGCTATCACTGAAGCTTGTCATTCTGGAATTCTGGATGGCTAGGAAAGAGAGCAGGCGGAGGGCAGCATGCTGGCCGCTAGCAGCCTTAGCGTGTCCCTCCTCTGCTACCGCAGGTCCCTCCACCATGAGCCAGTTTCTTCATGATCCTTCAGCTCACCTCTGTAACTGCTGCAAGACTTGCAAGAGTGAAGTCACTTTCGCATCAATAACAGACGTTAGCGGCTGCCACTCCAGAAGGTACCGAGTGACAGCTTTTATTATGTCAAACATTTGGCAAAGCCGCTGCTGCCACCAATTCGCCGTCTGATCCACCAGGAGTTGAATTTATGTGCCATTGTTCCTGGAAGTCTGGGCACCACCACCTTCCAGGAGCCAGTGGGCATTGTTTCTTGCATTTAATGGCTGGAACTCTATAAGTCCGAGTAGCAGTCAGTGAGAATGTTAGGCAGGTTGAGGACTCCGTTTTCTTTTCTGACCCTTCCTAACATGTTGCAGAACTTTCTTTTAATGCTGCCAAGGTACTTACAACAGTCATTTTGCTCTGACCAATGAACAAACACAAGCCAATACAAAGTGACTAGGAAACCAAATGAGTGCTCCAGCATCTGGATGGAGAAGCCCTCTGCACAGTAGGTGGGCAGGGCATCCATCAGGCTCTGTGAAATAGCCTAGCAGGAGGAGGAGACAGGGCTTTGGATGGCTGTCCTGTGCACCCCTCCATCACACCTCTCCCCACTCTGTGTAACTCATCGTTTCCTTGAATAAGGCTATATATTCACGAGAGAATTACAGACCACCAGGCTTTAAGCCAATTAAGAAGAGAGTCCTTTATTGATTAAATGTTAACCTAGAGTGGCTAGTGCCTCAGAAAACTTCTCTGGGCTGAACTCAGGGATAGCGCTTATAAAGGCAAAAACAACAGGATTGTGGAGACAGACGCAGGCTGGGGAGACCTTGCTACAGCGGTTATTTTGATTATACGTAATAATTGTTTTGATTATACATCCAGGAGTTATTTTGGTCTTGAATCTAGGTCATGGTCAGGGTCACAGAAAACCGCAATGTGTAGCAAATACTGGCACGGCTGTCTGGAGGAGGCCAGTGGCTGAAAAATGCCTGAGCAGCACAAAATGGGGCAAGGACCTGCTTAGGAGAAGATGCTGTTGCTTCAGCTACTTCAAGGCGCTACTTCAGGACTCCCCCACGGTGGGATCTGTTTGAAACGGGTATGGGATCCCAAGAAAATGAGCATGTAATCCAAAGCATTTCAACAAGGTCAAAAGTTTTCCTTCTGCAAGAGAGCCCAGTCTCTCAGAATCCAGCAAGCACCCTGGTTAAGATGGTCTTTTCCTTTTATATCTGAGGGAGAGGTTGGCTGTCCCTCATTAATGGAAGTTCTACTGCTTAATCTCAACAAGATTGGCTGATTTAAGGGGAAGGGGGCATTCTAGTCAGAATGAGGTTTCAGCAGGTAGCCACCCACAGTCATAAAAGTCATAAAATTGGAGCTTAGGCCCTGACGTCTTAAGGCAGTAGGGTATATGGATGAGTAAACAACTCATCGCTGCGAGTTACAATTGACCTGTTAAAGAAACAAATGATAGGTAAAAAGTTCAGAGAGGTGGAGAGCGAACGGATGGAGGAGGCACCGAGGCACAGATAGAACTCTCAGCGGGATACAGCTTTATTTCCACACCGGACACGTTTCTCTCCGGGAAGGGAAAGATGTCAGCCCACGGGTTGTGAGCTGGGACTTATATACGGGGGCTTTAGGGTGCAGAAGGGGGAGAGTTTGGGGGAAAAATCAAGCTGGGGGAAGCAGGAAAAGCAGGGTTTGTAAACCTGGCTCCTTTCAGTCTGCCAGGCAGGATCTGGGTCTGGAAGAATCTGCTTATCTTATCTTTGGAGATCAGAGGAAAGGCAGGCTGCTTCTCAGCAGAGTTTGTTTCCCTTGACTTCAAAGGCCAAAGTGCTTAGCAGCTTAGTTCCCTTTTTCGGGCTCCAAAAGTCCGTAGGTCCCTGTTAGGGAGGGGAGAAGCTGCTGCTGTTTGGAACCCTAATAACAAATACTACTATGTAAGGTAGACATTAGGTTTACAGCAGGGTATTGGAAAGAAAGACAAGCATATAGTTTAATCCTAGCACTTGAGAAGCAGAGGCAGGCGGATCTCTGTGAGTTCAAGGCCAGCTGGTCTACATAGTGAGTTCCAGGTCAGCTGGGGCTACAGGGAAACCCTGTCTCAAAAAGACAAAAACAAACAAACAAATAAAAAATAAAAAATAAAATGTTTTTGAAGATGGCTCAGCAGTTAAGAATACTGACTGCTCTGGCAAAGGACCTGGGTTTGATTCCCAGCACCCACATGGTGGATGACAACCATCCATAACTGCAGTTCCAGGGGACTCCATCTCCCTCTTCTGACCTCTGTGTGCATTGCATAACATGGTTGCACTTACATACTTGCAGGTAATATACTCATACACAAAATATTTAAAATGTTTTTGACAGAACATTTTTGGTTTGATCTTTGTTTTTACATTAACAAAAGTCAGCCTATGAGTTGGTTTAGGATTCATAGCCTCTGAGAGCAGACAGACCCTCTGCTGGGAAGGCAGAAACTGGAGATAAAGAACATGTGGGTTGTGGTTGACTTTTGAAGTTTCTCTGTAAGTTATAAGGGTAAAGCTCCCTTTGAGGGAAGTCACTACATTTCTTTATATTTCTCACCAATCCCCGAGTGTGTAAGGGCCATGCACACACCCACACACTCAGCTCCTTGGCCTGCTCCTTCTAAGCTCTCCTGCCACCACTGCCATTTGCACCAGCACACCTATAAAACTCCTCACAGCACTGTATTTTAAATAATAGATTTCATTTTCTCAATGATTTCACTAGCCACCTAGGACTGTGTTCTAATGGTGAATGTGCAGCCGTGTGTGCTCCATACTTTCTTGAACAGCATCATTTTATGATAAACATATTTATAGAAACACGTGTTTCTATAAATATGCTCATTTGAAATATAAATATACTAGTGCTCATTTGAAAGGCCTAGGTGATAGTTAATCAAACCTAATGATTTTTTTTTCCTGAATTTTGTTTCATTGAGTGCTTAGAAATAATTTCCTAGCCTAGACAAAGCTGTGTGATCACAAGAATACAATGAAATTAAGTGCTTTTGGTTTTTCATTAGGAAGATGTTAACGGCAGTCGCTAAGAAATTTCACTGAAAATTGACAGGTTTATTATTTTTTCCTGCTGTAAAATAAGGACACAAGTGCATAGGATATGAACCGTTTATCATCCTAATTCAGGTGGTTTGTGTGACATTAAATATCCCCTTTTGCCTCTGTGGACTTAGTCGCCTCATTTTTGTGGAGGAAATGAAACAACTCTAAACAGTGTGGGACCACAGGCTTGCCCAGAAAGGCATCTCAGGAATAATAAAGCTATCAAATGGAAATGATTGAGGTCAGATTTTGTTTCTTTTGTTTCTTGGTCTGCTTGAATTTTATTGTATTTATGGAAACTCGATCACTTAATAGTCTCCTTTGTTCTAGTTCATTATGATCTATAGTCAGAGTTTATGGATAAAGTTCTAAAAGATGCTGCCCACCCCCTTTTTTGAGACAGGGTCTCTTTCTAACTCCAGCTGGCCTGGAACTCACTTATGTACATCAGGCTGGCATGATCTCACAGAGATCCTACTGCCTCTGCTTCTGAGTGCTGGGATTAAAGGCGTGCCATACATGCTTCCCTCACTTTTAGAGCCTAAATTGCAGGCAT